TAGTGACTACGGGTTACCCGAACGGTACCATCATGCTACATTAGGACCTATACTACTTATTTAAAAGTTTTTTTTTTTTAAAAATTTTCTTTTTAGGATTATTACAAAACCATACCTAAAAAAAAAACCCAAAATTTAGACTATAAATAAATCGATATTGTCGCTTCGAAGTCTTTTTCGGTTTGGTGAAAAAAATGAAGCAATTCGGTACTTCGGCCAATTCGAGAAAAGACACTTTTTAATATATATATATATATATATATATATAATTAAATATTTATAAAATATATACAAATAATCGAAAAAAAAATTATATAACTATTTCTTTACTAGCTGAAGTAGACCCGAAAAAAACTCGAATCATATCCGAAGCAAACCTAAAGCGATCCAAATCTGGCCTAAGCAGCCTGAAACGGCATGAATCTGACCAAAATCCAAAAGCTTCCGGCTCTGACCGAAGAGAAGCGAATTTTGATAACATTGAAATAAACCTACGGACGCCTAGTTTTGCATAAAAAATATCCAAATGAAGTTGGTAACGAGTGGCGGCGTGACGCACTTCAAGTGAGTTCCAAAGCCTAATATCAAGCGTGATAACCATGACCAATTAAAAGCATTCACATTACAAATAGGGCATGGGTTGCTCTTTCAGTTCAGAACTTAGAGCATTGTTGAGAGAGAAGGAGAGAGGGGAGAGATCATAGCATCGAATGGCGACTCATCTGCACATGAATCAAGGCACAGGGAAGACGAGCTACGCAAAACATTCATGGGTTCAGGTTTCATCATGATCCAATTTGCTCTGCCCTCTTATGTTTCTCTTTCTCTTTCTCTTTCTCTCGTGCAATAAAATCGGGTGGTTAAAATCAAAACCCTCCCGTTAAACCAGAACTCAATACTAGCCGATTTCAGTTTGAGTCGTTTTTGGTGATTTGACCAAGTATTTTATAAAAATTATATAAAATCTCAAAAAGGGGATTTATTTGTAATACGTTTCTTTTTTTTTCTTTTTTTTTAGCAAAAATTGGAAAGTGTTTTGGTTATTCATATTTATTTTTAAATTTTTTACTTTTTCGAGAATTTTAAAAATACCTCTAGACACAAATGGTGGATGCATTTTATTTAAGAGAAAATTTCGTACACCTCCTATATAATAGGGAAAATACAATAAGCTCTCTTTATAGGCATACCTTACACTTAAGGTCGGTTAATGCAATCTTTTTATCTGACTAAATTACCCATCAGTCCGATGATTGCATCTTCATATCGAATTTTATTTTTATTTTTTTAAAATTTTCATTCATAGGGCCAATGGTATGGGGCCTATGCCCACTTGGTCTGAGGTTTGAATTCTTGAACTGTAGTATTGTTCATAAATAACAAGCGGTCCGAAAATAGCATCCTCGGACCAAGGGACAATATTGTAAAAAGAAAAGAAGTCGGGTCGACCTCATTGGTTTCAATATTTGCATATAAGAGGAGCATATCATATTTTCCCTCCATAATCCATACTTTATTAACTCTTTGTTTAATCATATTTTAAATATATTTTTCATATTTTTTAGATTTTTTTGTTTTTTTTTACTTATTTAATACCTTTTTTTCCGGCTAAGACTTTTCTGGTTAGGCCACTTGAACCGGCCAGTTTACCGATAACTCGGAACCGGCCCTTGGCCAGTTTGATTTTTCAAACGCTGCTCCCTCCCTACCTACCTCCCTCCCTCCCTCCATCGTCTCTCTCTCTGCAAATGCATTTGTCCGTTAACTATGGTTGATCTTTTTGACACAGAAACATGGATTAGAGGTGGTTAAGCCTATAACTGAAGACGCAGTGAGCAACATACTCTCTGCCGATTTCACTGACAGCTTCGCGATCGTCGACCTCGGCTGCTCTTCAGGCCCCAACACTTTCTTTGCTCTAATCACCATCATCAGAGCTGTTTGCGCAAGATGTCAAGAAAACTCTAGGCCAATGCCGGAGTTTCAGGTGTACCTTAATGACCTGCCGGAAAATGACTTCAACTCCATTTTCAGGGCATTACCTTTGTTCTATGAGTTGATGAGAGAGAAAGATGGGGTTCCGGGGTCGTGTTTTGTGGCTGGTGTTCCAAACACTTTTTATTGTAGACTTTTTCCAGCAAACAGTTTGCACCTTGTTCATTCTTCTTACAGTCTCCATTGGCGCTCACAAGTATGCTCTCTTTCTCTCTCTCTCAATTCATTGCATCAGAGTTTGTGTGCCCTACCTCTATCTCTTATTGTTCATGACAAGTGCTGGAGAGATACGGAGAGGAAGGTTTTTGGTGGATGGGAAAAATCAAGGGAAAATTAAAAAAAAAAAAAAACTCCCATGACTATACTTCCTATGCAGGGAAAGGTTTCTATAATTCCCCTACAGTACAGAAGCTCTATGTTTCCCTACCATCCAGCCGTCCAATTTTGATCAAGAGAGCCACTCACTGTTTGATCTTAGATCTGACGTTTCAAAGTATTTTATTTTTATTTTTTTTATACAAATTGTATGGATATGAAATTTTGTACATGCCATCTTCTCATTAGGACACACCTATAAAAAATATTAAAAATAATTTTTCGATAAAATATAATGACCAAAATACCTCTTGAAACTTTTAAAGGCATTTTGATCATTTTATTTTATCGAAAATATTGTTTTTATATTTTCGCTAGTACGAGTTTAATAGAGGATTGGATGTCCAAAATTTGGTGTCAAAATAGTTTATAAAAAAACATTAAAAATAAAATAGTGTAAAGATGTTACAATCTTAACCCTCCATTCATAATGGATGGTTGGATAAGAGGAAGTATATAAGTTTTATGATATAGGAGAAGCATAGAAAGTTTGTCCTTCTATGTAACTTACACCCAACCAAACTTTTTCTCTCGTCGCTTTGTTACCCAAAATACACTTCCCATGTAAACATTCATAAATGTGAACCACTCCAATGTCTAAAAAATCAAACCATATTTAAAATAAAAATTATTTTTCAAGTTATTAAAATTTTGAGAAAACCATTGTGAGATACTGTGGTCTTTGTAGGTTCCTTCAGGGTTATACGATGAGAATGGAAACCCCCTTAACAAGGGTAACATTTACATAAGTGAAGCCAGCCCACCAAGTGTGAGAGAAGCCTATCTTCAACAATTTCAAAAGGATTTCTCATCATTTCTAAGGTTTCGTTCCCAAGAGGTGGTAAGAGGGGGATGCATGGTGTTAATATTCTTTGGCCGAAGCTCAACACAACAAGGCGACGAGGAGTTTCACTTTCTATGGACAGTTTTAAGCCAAGCTATACGAAATTTGGTCTCTAAGGTAACCAATCTACATAACTGCAATTTACATCTCCTGGCCTACAAATCCATGACATGGCCCCAGCTATGTTGGTCTTTAAAAAAATTGCTGGTTTGACTGAGGACTCCTAGGCTGAAAACTCTAGAATCGCCGAGTCTCCTATTTTTCTCTTAAAAAGAATAATTTGCAAAAAATAACTCCCAATCTGATGCTTGTATCGCATTGAGTGGGCCAGAAACCCTAGTGAGTTAGAGCCCAAGTCCAACAAAAAACTAGTTTGAGCCCCTATATGTGTGTGTATTTGTAGATTATATGTAAGAAGATCATTTACCTTTAATACAAGAAAATTACATTCAATCTTAGCCACCAGATATGAAATAGAGCATCCGAAGATGTACTATTGACTAGGTGAAAAGTCCAAACAAAAGAAATTCCCAATCTTTGTGACTCACCCTAAGCTATTGGATTTCACATAAGACAAATAGGGTGATTTGAAACCTTTTTGTACCTAATATCATGGTCTTGTAGTATACAATTCCTATATATAGGAACTTGGTTTTGTGAGCCAGTCTGCCTATATTGCATTATACAACCCAATTTAAACATTCTGGATGGTCCATTTTCATTGGCATGGGGGCATTTTTATCATTTTAAATGTGCATATGATTTTTTTGGCATTCATGTCTTTTGTGTGTAGGTTTCATGCACCTCTCCACAAAATTTTAGCTCAAAATGATCTATTCAAAAACTAAAAATAAAAGAAGTGCTCGTACACACTAGCCGCTAAATATGCTCAATTGAATCTGGACTGTCTAGCTTATAGTATAAAATAGCCCTAGGTTGCCTATAGCATACAATAGCCTGAGGGCCTCATCAGCCCAAGGCAACCTATAGATCTCACTCTGGTTAGTGTCCCAACTAAAGCGTTTATTGTGTAACACAGGGACTAGTTGAAGAGGAGAAGTTGGATTCATTTGATTTGCCCTTCTATGATCCATCAGCACAAGAAGTTGAAGAAGAGGTGAAGAGAGAAGGGTCATTCACAATTGCACGTTTCGAGCAACTACCATTAGCACCTTGGGGTGCTAACAAGAGTGGGAAAGACTTGGCATTGACCATGCGAGCTGTGGTGGAGCCCTTAGTCAAATATCACTTTGGAGAGGAGCTCATGGACATGTTATTTGAAGAATACGCTCAACTTCTTCAGTTTGAAATAAATGGAGGAAAGAAGAAACACGTTCATTTTGTTCTTGTCTTGAAAAATACAAAGTGAAGCACTTTGATGATCCAAACAATAAACCATTCCTTATGGTATTCATGTCTATGTGTTAAAAAGCTTTGTCCATAATTGATGTATTTGATATTGAGATGCCTATTTCTTTGCTTCATGATCTATAGCTTTCGTATTACTAGTTTCTTGCTCTATTTGTGGGGAGTTCGATTTAGAGGCTGTGTATACCTCTGTTCTGTTGTGTGGTTGCCATTGAAGTCTTTCTTTGGACTGCTTATAACTTGTTCGTTATTTTAGGAAAAAAAACGTCCTTAGTATAAATAAAATAGGGAATCATGTGGAGGTCCAACTTTTTACAAATTTTATGTGGAGGTTCAAACTTTTGCAAAAAAAAAATAATTTCCAATTCTTCCTCTCTATAGGTGCGGCGGGCTGCTGGATTTATGCGTCAATACGCTTTTTCTTTTTTTTCCTTTTCTTTTTTGATGAATACCCAAGGAAGATATACTTTATGGCTTTCTCATCAAGTTTATCATGATCCTCATCACTACGCTCCCCATAGGTTACACATCTGAAAATATGAGATTTTACACATCTGAAAATATGAGATGTGTGATATCTAGCTTCCTTTTGTAGAGTAGATGACAAGGCACCTTAATTTCATCTCTAAGAGACCTGCGATCGATTAAATATGCCATAGTGTGTATTGCTTCGGCCCAATATACTCTAGGCATATTTTATCTGTTCATCATTTGCACAATTGGCATCCACAAAGTACCTATTTTTCCATTCAACAATCCCATCAATCGTGTTGAGGTGTACAATCCCGTCAATCGTGTTGAGGTGTACCAACAGATGTCAGTTGCCTCCTAATCCTACTTTTTTCAAGAAGTCATCAAATTCTTCCGACATTATCTATCCTGAATTTCTTGATTCTTGTATTGAACTCATTCTCAAAAAGCATTTCTTTGAAGTACTAAAATACTTCAGATTTATTTTCTACAAATAAATCTACGTGCATCTAGAGTAATTGCAATGAAAGTAACATAGTACATCATGTGCTTGTGAGATTCAACTAGACCTTCCAACAGCATACTGGCCTCAGCCACTGCAGAGTCTGTCATTCCAATAAATCCAAAAAAAGACAGTCTCTCTCTGTGTCATAACTGCTCACTTGTGGGCATGCTTCAAACAAATTAGAGAGAAACAGATTCTTCAGTACGAAGTGATGAACGAATCGTACCATCCTATGGTCATATCTGCTTCTATGTGATCTCTTACAGAAAGCATTTTTTGAGAAACATCAATGTAGGGCCCATCCCAAAACCTCTACAAAGAGTGCCACGCTGATATCTTCATCATCAAACTCCTGAATCTTATCATTTACATTTTCAAGCCATAAGTACATGATAATTAACTGTGCAAATCGTTTTCACCTTTAGAGTTGCTCAAGGAGTACCTGAGTTTTCTTATAGGGGAATAAGAAATTTGTCCAAGATTCAAATTAGAGAGACAAATTCTTACGTCAGAAGCAATGAATGAACCCCACTATCTCATGGTCATGTCTGCTTCTATTTGATCTCCTCACCTGAAGCCCTTTGTTGAGAAACTAAAGGTGGGCCCCGTTCAAAAACCTTTATATAGAGTGCCACACTGATTTTCTCCATCATCAAACTTCTGAATCTCATAACTTATGTTTCTAAGCAGTAAGCCATTATAATTAACTGCAAAAATGTATTCCACCTTTAGAGTTGTCCAAGAAGTACCCTGAATTTTCTTATGGGGGAATATTTGCTCGAAGCAACCATGCCATTGGTCGCTAGAAGAAGCCGTTTCCCTACGTCACTTTTCCCAGGTTCTCTCTCCAATGACTTTAAGCCACCTTTACATTTAACTGTAGAAAGAGGGCAATTCTGTAAAGACTGGGTGCTGTAAAAGCCCCATTTTCTATCAGTAGACTTCTCAGACAAAGAAACACCACATGCTTTCTTGTGGCTACCGCCCATATATTCCTCAGAACATGGAAAGTATTTATTGATTATGCCTGAAACAGATATTTTTCCTGATGTGCTTGCACTTGAAGCTTCAGATATGTCTCGCTTCTCTGCAGTGGTATCTTCATAGTTTGACTCTCCACAGCTGCATACCTTTAGACCTTGCTTAAATCTTCCTTGCTTCTCCAAGACACTCCTATGATTTCCGTGATAATTGTTTTGTATGGAATTTTGGGAATAATCTATACTATCTAATCGACTTTGGCTATTTACTGTTGGAGAAGTAAAATATGTGCTCTCAAAATTGACGACTTTGTTTGATGATTCTTCCAAGATTGAACTTCGATTCTCCCCATTTATGACCAAAGAGTCACAGCACCTGCTTGGAGTAGCAACTATTGTTTCGAGCTCCATAGAAGCACACCTCTTATTTTCATTCTTTCTTCTCTTTCTAGTGTTATCCAATCTCTTACAGAGTAATACATTGTTTCCTTCTATTTGGACATGTTCACCGTTATGCTGATGTCTCGGCCTTTTTCCAGCTTTTTGATTCCTCAATGCACTATGCTTTTCAGATTTTTCAGATACATTGGATTCATGGAACTGTACAGTCACATTGCTTTTTCCCATATCATGTAGAGTACCTCTCACTGTGTCACTAATCACATTACCTTTTGAGACCTCAGGTAACTCCATAAGAATGGCATCCATGAAAAGAAACCAAGATCCTCTCAACCCCTCTAAAGCGCTCTTGATAGGTAGAGAATCAGGCAGGTGGTAAAAGTAAGACTTTCGTTTCACCTACAAAAGAAAGAAAGGGAAGAAGAAATTATTTGGTGAAACCAATTTCTTAAACCGGTACCTACACCCTTCCGAATTGCAAAATGAAATTGGTTTATCAGTTTATAAATTATGGCTCTCTGTCTCTGTCCACATGTATGTGCGTCTGTGTGGGTGATGACCTCACCAAGCCCAACATAAACCATAAATACCTGAAGAGCATAACAAACCATGAACCACATAGTTATTGCTTAAAGCTAAAGGGGTCGTGTGATCATCTCAGCAACATAATATTATATAACTTGATGCTCATTCAAACAATAGTAGACAATGAAATTACATTCCAACGTTGAACTCTATTATATCTAGTCAAAAGTCAGAACTCGAATAGATAATTCTTTGATTATTACCATCAATGCTTGGACCATGATCTCTCCAAGATTTGGGAAAGATAGGGGGTGCTCCTCCCTGAGTATTCCTGCATAACATTCCATAATTAATTATTGTTTTCTTTGATACCAAGATCAAACAGAAGAAATTATAAGAGCACTGACCTAAACCATTTAAAGCCAATCAAATAGAGGTATGCTGACAACTAGTACAAGCACAACTTCCCTTTTGGGCCACTATTTCAAAGTGACTCCTGGACACATATCGTTAAATCACAGTCATTTGAAGGATGAGTAAATGGCACACATGTAAAAACAAGTTCCGAAAAGTATTATATACAATGTAAAATTGGATCACATTGACATCTAAGGACTTTTTTACGAAATACTCTTCAGATGTAAATGCAGTTAAATGGAGAAACCGCACAGAAAAGCTTCTAACAAACAAACACACAAACTCCTATGCTGCTATGGAATTGAAATTGATGCCCATAATTACTTTCATAGACAATAACATAATTCATCAAACTCATTCATCTTCGCCTGATTCCACAAAACTCTCATTGGCAAGAGCCCACAAATTCATGGAATCCTTGACACACTGATTTATCATAAACTAGAGTATGCCTCTGAATATATGATTTCAGCACTATCAGTGCTCCATAGAAGAGTGAATAAAGGAGACAGTTTCAAATAATATGTAAGAGTGAATAAAGGAGACATTTTCAAATAATATGTTTTCTCGTGAAAAAAGGCACAGTTAACCAGCATCCAGGACTACCGCTCCAAACACTAGCATCACCCACCTTCTGCTAAAATATACAGGAAGGCGTTCCAAAATCCAAATATATCCCACTAAAGAACAGGTCAATAAGAGGTAACCCATTGCTGTCCTACTTCATTGACTATAAAACATCGAGAATCAATCCTGTCTGGCCATCAAGTCAAATGCAACAACTGTTAAGAGTTTACTATTGGAGAAAATAAAAATGGAATAATTACCTCCCCCACCAAACAGTTCACTCTGGGTGATGGTGGTGGAGCATCCTTGATGCTGCACCCTCAAAAGAAACTGAGGCAAAACAAAAAAAAAAAACAAAATTTTTCCTTTTGTTTGCTCTAATTAGCATCCCCTTCTTGACATTAACAAAGTTTACTTTGGGAATTTGAAGCTTCAATATGGACCATACAAAAGATATCATTGCTTGCTATGAAACCTATTGCAAACAATTTCCCATGTCATCCATAACAGTAGACAAGTAAAGATAATAGAAGGGGGAATGCCATAGTCTAGTGTATGAATTTTCAGACTTTCTTCTCAATCCTCAGGTTTTAAACAACCCAGCCTACCATGCAACAAAGTTTTCAACTGAACCAATAGGTTCCTATTGCACTCATTGGCATGACGCAAGTAAGAAAAGAGAGAAAAAAGATCAATATTGGTAAACAGTGTATAGGATCACAATTCGAAGGATTGAATGCTACCGACAAAAAAGCATTTTGCTTACCGATAATAACTTTAGGCACAACCCCATAACCTGGTGGGGCGAATGTCTAATTTAAAACTTGAAAAAATGTGAATGTATATTGCCCATTTCAGCTCAAGATGCCATGTAAAATTCCCCAGGATATGTGATGAAACAAACACAGAAACCCAACCTTGACTGGCTTCTAACATGCACCAATGGCCAAACATAAATAAATTGAAAGAAAATACCCAACAGTTAAAAACTACTCAAAAAGCAAATAACCTTTATATCAGCATTTCTAAACAATCTAATCGCTCCTGTTTATTTAAATACAGCTAAACCCATCAATAAAAAAGTATAAAACAATCTAATTAGAAAAGCCTCTGTCTTTGTCTATCTATGTACATGTGTGTGAATCAGCACAGCCGCTAACTTTCAACAAAAAATAAATGAAGGGAACCAGGAAACGAAGGACATGGGCAACACATCATCCCCCAAAAACAGAATTTTCATATGACATGGGCAATGGCTTTCTCTCCAACAAGAGAATTTCTCTCTCTAAATTACTGGCAATCTACACTTACTTTTGAGATTGCCCACTGAATCATTTGGTGAAACAATGATGGCCAAATGGGTGCCCAGATTGCTGTCTATGAAGACTGGTTTCAAAGAATCCATTAGAATAAAAACCCAATGTTTCTTCTTTGTCACCAATTGGGTTTGGTTCCTTCAAAGCCAGTAAATGGAATGGGCTTCCCTTTTTTGCAAGAACGATGCACGCCGCAAGACTCGTGCACAACAAAGTTTCCCCACTTCTTTCTTTCACTCTCTGTCCTCACTTCTCATGAATTCCTGTTCATTTGCCAGCAACTTCAAGCCCTGAAAGGCCAAAGCTAAAGTGCTGCCCCTTTCATCTGAAAATGACAAAGCTGCGTAGCAGTACAAGCATGGTTTACCTACGAATTTCTCTTCCATTTTGGGTAAACGCATGAAGCGGTTTCCCTATAAATAGTTATAAATTTGGATTTTTAAATTTCATAGGATGACCCGAGGACGGATTTTTGGGTTGTCATAAGGATTTTTTATTATCTCATCATTGTCATCAAATAATTTTTTAATTAATTGGGTCGACTACATGAATCTTAGCTTATTATTCTACTCTATTAAAACGTCATAAGTCTATATATATTTTCTCACTACTTTCAACTATGTCATTTTGAGCTTACTCCTTGCCCGATCTAAGCCTTCCACTTGAAATAACTCACACCTCCTAACATATATTGTACGGGGTATGCGCGACACATGGTCAGCCCTCCTAAATCTACTATCTATCATCTTATCGCCTATTGGTGCCACACCTAAATTTTGTTCGAATGTATACATTTTTAATTTTATCCCTTTTTGTCTTGTCATTTATCCATCTCAACATCATCATCTTTGCCATACTCATTCTATAGGTATTTTTTTTTTTACTACGAACATTCCGCACCACAGAGCAAAGCTGGTCTCACAACTGTCTTCTAGAACTTGTCCTTCAGCTTCATTGGTATGCAGCGATCATATAAAATTCTAGTTGTACATCTCTACTTTGTCCACCCAACTCTAATTCTATGTGCGACGTCTTCCTCAATTTTTCTATTTACCTGGATTATTGACCTAAGATATAGAAAGTGTGCTCTTTTTGGTATTTCCTGACTATCAATCGTAACTATTTCCTTATCTTGACTCTTATTATTACTAAACTTATATTTCATATACTCTGTCTTAGTCCAGGTAATTTTAGAACCCTTAAATTTTAGAGCATACCTCCAAGGTTCTAACTTTGTGTTGATGTCGTTTTGGGTCCCATCGATTTAAACTACATCATCTTCGAACAACATGCACTACGGTACCTGATATTTAGGTGTCTAGTTAAGTCGTACATAACTAAAACAAAGAGGTATAGACTTAATGCTGACCCCTGATGTAGACCTATTGTCACTGAAAACTCACTCTTCTCTCTACTAGTTAGCGCTCTATCGTATATATCTCTCAACAAGTCGATGTATTGTTTGGAGACTCATTTCTTTTCCAACACCAACCAAATTAAATATTGAGGTACTCTATCATAAGCTTTATCTAAATTATTAAAGATCATGTAGAAGTCTTTTTCCTTCACCTTAAAGTTCTCAATCAGTTGCCTAAGTAGGAAAATAGCTTAAGTTATTGACCTCCCTTGCATAAACTCGAATTAGTATTCTGATACACTCGTTTCATGTCTCAGTCGTTACTCAATCTCTCTCTCTTGGAGTTTCATAGTGTAGCTCATAAGTTTGATCCCCCTAAAAGTTCTTACAGTTTTGTAGATCTCATTTGTTCTTGTAAATAGGTACCAAAATATTTTTCCTCCATTCGTTTCACATTTTTTTCGTTCTCAACACATTGTTGAACAACTTGGTCAACCGGTCAATGCCAATCTCCCTTATGCACTTCTAAACCTCTATCGGGATACTATTTGATCCTAAAGCCTTTCCTACCTTCGTCCTTTTCAAAGCTTCTTTCACTTCTGATATCCTAATCCTACGGATGTATGTATAACCTTCGCTCTCATTTATGCCACCGGATCCTTCTATCGCTATGTTCCCATTGTGTTCATCATTTAATAATTTTGGAAAATAAACTCTCCATCTTTCATTGACCTCTTCATCTTTCACTAAGATCATTTGATCATCATTCTTAATGCATTTAATATGATCTAGATACCTACAATTTTTCTCTAATTTTTACTAATTTGAAGACATATTTTTTACCTTTTCTTGTTCCCAATTTATTGTATAAATTATCATGTATCTTAGTTTAGCCTTATTGACTATTTGTTTAACATTTTTCTTAGGCATTTTTATATTCTTCATAGTTTTGATCATTTCTATTACACTGTCAAGTTTTATAACATGATTGATTTTCGCTAATGGCCTTTTGAACCTCATCACTCCACCACCAAGTTTTCTTATCAAAAAAAATTTTCCCTCTAGATTATCTTAAAATTTCTTTTGCCTCTTTCTTAATACAGTCAGTAATCTCATTATACATAACATGACTTCATGTTCAAAGTTATATTTTCCTTCTTTAACTAATCTATTCTCGAAGAAGTCTGTTTTTTCATTTCTTTTCTTTAATTCTACCACCTAATTTTTGGACACCTATTAATTTTACCCATTGTCTTCCATATCTTTATGCAGACATCCATAAACACGAGTCTATTTAGCGTAATCAAACTCTCTTCTGGGATAACTTTGCAGTCTTTATGTGGTGATTGATCAACTTTCTTAACTAGGAAGAAGTCTATTAGGCTTTTATGTGATCTATTTTTATAGGTTATTAAATGTTCATCTCTCTTTTTAAAGTGAGTGTTTATTGTTAGGTCGTAGGCCATAACAAAATCTAGAATAGCTTCACCCATCTCAGTTCTTTCCCCAAACTCACTATCCCCCATGCTCATATCCTTCGTTATCCTTCTCTACATGACCATTTAAGTCCCCTCCTAAAAAAATCCTCTCTCCATTTCGTAGGTTTTGGACTATTCCATCCATGTCCTCCCAAAATTGTCTTTTAATTATAACCTCTAATCCTACTTGGAGTGCATAGGTACTAATTACATTAATTATATCTTCCCCTAATACAAGTTTAATTAATAGGAGCCTATCACCTATTCTCTTGACATTAATTACTTTATCTTTTGAATCTTTGCCTACTATTATGCCTATGTCATTTATATTATGAGAAAGCTTTCTATGTTCTCCCTACAACATAAACGTTATATCCTCCCCTTTATCCAACCATCTTTTTTTGAATGGAGGGCTAAGATTGCCCCAATCACAATGTCACGTCTTTACACTATTTTTTTTTAAAAAAAATAATTTATAAACTATTTTGACACCAAAATTTTGACATCTATTCCTCTATTAAACTCGTACTAACGAAAAATATAAAAAAAATATTTTCAATAAAATAAAATGATCAAAATACCTCTGAAAGTTTTAAGGGGTATTTTGGTCATTATGTTTTATCAAAAAAGTATTGTTACTATTTTTTATAGGTGCACCCAAATGATAAGATGACACGTACCAAATTTCATATTCAGAAAAATTGTATTAAAAAAACTAAAAATAAAATACTTTGAGACATGGGATCTAAGATCAAATAGTAAGTGACTCTCCTGATAAAAAATGGACGGCTGGATGGTAGGAGGAGGATAGAACTTTTATGTTATAGGGGAAACATATAAAGCTTTCCCTTTTATTATTATATTTTACCAATATTTTTCTTTAGTTTTTTCTAATTTCCATTTAGTTTCCTGTAGACAAGGTATGTTTACTCTGATTCGTCTCATTCTATCTACTAATTGTATACTCTTATTTGTAAGCGTTCATACATTCATTATAGCTAGACAAATCATATTCTCTTGGACTAGTTTCTTTACTCATGCTCGTCCAGGATATCGCGGGAACCTTTGCCTATTTTTCATCGCAATCGGATGGCACTATGGCGCATTGCTTCTAGGGATTGCCTTAGCTAACCTTTGCTTAATTCTCATTGTACCTGAGTTCCGGTACAACACATCGCTTATAGGGAACACCCTAGCATAAGTAGATACTGTAGGTTCAGGATTCATGATAAGTTTTGACAAAATTTTAGGCTGGCTGCCTACTTAATAGAACCCAACCTTTACAAGGGCATTGCGCAGGTTAATGCAAATGTTAGCTCCAACCTAAGAATAAAATTTAGTGGTTCAATTTTTTTTATTTAAATTATCACTTTTAGTCTATACGGCATTTTAAGTATCATAAAAACTAGCCTATGTTATACGGCACTAAAAATGCTGTAAACCCTTTTCTCATTCTGTTTATATTTATTTCTTTCATTTTTCTAATTCTTTTTATGTTTATCTCTTATTTCTCTTTTTAATATTTATCTATTATTTATCTCTCTAATTCTTTTTTATCTCTTCTTTCTCTCTCTAACTCTCTTTCTCTCTCCAATGAGATTGTATAACAACGTGTGCGTACCTTAACCTCCTCTATAAAAACTCCCTTCAACCCCATCTCCTTAGAAAAATAAACTGAATCATATTTGTATCGCGTTGGTTGAGTTGATGAAGTAGAGAGAGAAAAGATTTAGAGAGAGAAAGAAGAGATAAACAAAATTAGAAAGAAAAAGAAGAAAAATATTAAAAAAACTTAGAGAGAAATAAGAGATAAACATAAAAAGAATTAAAGAGATGAAAGAGATAAATATTAAAATATTTAGAGAGAGAAAGAAGAGATAAACATAAAAAAAATTAAAGAGATGTAAAAGATAAATATAAACAGGAGAAAAAAATTTACAGTATTTTGAGGGCCGTATAACATAAGTGGGTTTTTACGGTATTTCGAAGGCGGTATAACATGAGTGGGTTATTATGGCACTTAAAATGCTGTATAACATGGGTGAGTTTTCAAAGTACTTAAAATGCCGTATAACATGGGTGGGTTTTTATGGCACTTAAAATGCCGTACAACATGGGTTGGTTTACTGTACTTAAAATATTATAAAATGTCGTACAACATGGGTTACTGTACTTAAAATGTTATAAAATGCCGTACAACATGGGTTGGTTTACGGTACTTAAAATGCCGTCATACAAATACGATTGAAATAGTTTTTTAGAAGTATAGTTTCATTATATTAGTTCATTATATTACAATGATATGTAGACATGAAATCACTCTCTATGATGGTTCTAAAATCAATTTCCAACACCGACAATAAATTTTGAAACTAAAAAAACTCCTATCGATCTTGTGAATCTTTGAACGCTTTTTTTTTAGGGAGAAAGAGATGGTCTAGATAATTTATTAAAATGCACACTATTTTCTAGGTTTGAATTTTTTATTTTTTATTTTTAACAACCATAATGATCAAGTCAAGATAATCAATGTAAAGGTTTCTCAATGCTTGAATTACGATTTTCAATGATAGGTGAAGTTTTTGTCGTGTCTCTACACTGTTTTATTTTTAATATTTTTTAATATAAATTATTTTCATACCAAATTTTGGACGTCCAATCCTCTATTAATAACGCACTTGTAAAAAATATTAAAATAATATTCCCAATAAAATAAAATAAAATTTTCAAAAGGTTTTTTGGTCATTATATTTTATTAAAAAATTGTTTTAATATCTTTTTATAGTTGCGCGGCAATGAGAAGAGGATACATACCCTATTTTATATTCATACAATTTGTATAAATAAATTAAAAACAAAATACTCTAAAAAGTTGGATATAACATGACACATAGAGTAGCTTACTTGATCAAAATTAAACTGCTGGAGGGTAGGGAAAGCATAGATCTTCTATGCTCGAGGGAAAATATAGAAACTTTTCCCATGAGATTAAACGTATCTGAAAAATTACGTCTAAATTCCATCTTAAAAATTGATCAAGAAGAGGGGCTGCATATCTACATATGAGTATCAGGACTCCTAGAAACCTTGTCCTTCAAAAAACCAGAAATATCGCGATCTTCCTATGATTTCCCTCCTTAGTGCAGACCAGTGATGGCCTTCTACTCTAATTTCAATTCCTTGTTATCCATTTCAGTTCCTTATTCAGGTTTCTCTCTCTACAAAGAATCATTTCTCACTCCACATCCAACTTTCTCTCTATACAAAACCCCGTTTCTCTGCAACTCCATTTCCACCTTCTACCTGCGTAACATCTCTGTTGATAAGACACCAGTTCTCTGTAATTCACTTTCCCTTTTCAATACCTCAAAATGCTCTCTCAAAGAACGATTTTATAAACAAAAGCCTGATAAAAGAGCATATGAGCTGAATTCTGAGGTCTCTCCTCATAGAGCAGGTAGCTTAAATTCTTTGTTTACACTTAATTTATTTCTCTCTGTTCTAGTTCATTGATACTCGTTGTAACTCACTTGTTTCTCGAGTTGGTTTGCTCTCTCTTTCTCTATCTCTGCATTCTATGATTGTTTCTCTCTATCATTTCTTCTATAGTTTCAGCGGTGAGGTTGTTAAGGATAGAGGAAGGGGGTGCTTTTGCAGACCAGTTGGGTTGGAGAGAGAATGAGATGGTGTATGTTGAGAGAACTTTAGGGTTTCGTGTTCGCGAACTTGATGATAGGAACATAAGACTGGTAAAAGAAAATTACTTTCTTTTTCACTGATATGTTTTTAGCTAAATTAAACTTGTACTATTTTTATTGAATCTATCTGGTCATGTAAGAAGACGAAAGCTTTTTGCACCATGTATATAATATGGATTATGTGTAGATTTGTGTGAGAAAGAACACAAATGCACCATTTCTTCTTCTGAAGCTGTTTTGTTCATCTTTTAAATGTAATTTTCAATTTTTTATTTGCAATATTGGACTTTTACCATGGCCTCTGGTCTTCGAAATGAATCACAAATATACGTGCTATTTAAATTTAGATAATCATTATTATTTATGCCTCCTATTTTATTTCTGTTCATTTGGTACAACGAAATTGTCACCTTGTACATTATATAGACATAAACCTTCTTAATGCATAAGCTTGTGTTTCTATCACATGATCCCTTGTAGTGCTTATAAGTGATGCAATCACCAACATATGATTGTTTATAGGTAACTGAAATAGTTGGGGGTGCTGTTAGATGGAGACGCTATTTAGATTTTTTGATAGGTTCGCTGTGCAGCAATGCTGAAACATTTAGAGGGATGGAACCTCTTCTTTTGCAGGTATTTTTACTTCATTCCCCTTTTCTATTAATGGTTTTAGCTTTTAAAAATGAAGTCCAGTAGTTTATCAAGTACCACAATTGTATCATAATTATGTATTTCTTTGTACGCATGTATATACATGCATGCATGCATGCATGCATGCATTTATGGACATATATATATATCTATGCATATGCATGTATCTACGTATGTGCGTGTTTGTGATCAAAGTATAGCAAATTCCTTCGTGTAAACTCTACCCAAGGAAAATAAGTCATTGTTTGTATATCATGGAATATTAGTTTGTTGCGCTTACGCGCTTAGTATTTATGTAGCAGTAAATGAACAAGAAGTTTGGGATAACTTTATGATTGCCCTCAATTTTGTTTGGTTAACCTACAAGAAGTCTTGTTTGTGGTTTTAGATTCTTCGGATCGGTGTGTATGAGATTGTCAAGCTGGAGATGCCACCTTATGCTGTTGTGGATGAGGTAACGACTCCTCAGTGATGAATGACTATTAAAATTTACCTTAGTAATGCAGGGTTTAGACTTTAGAAAAACAAAGGAAGTTATGATTTGATTTCTAACAATTTCATCCTTGGTCTTTTGTTAAGTAGTTGCTGACGTTACTAGATAAAGAACAGTACTAAAATAATTGTGTTTTGCATGCTTTCTATCAGGGATGCTTTTTTCCAGAAAAGACCATGATAACTTTTATTGTGAGAGGTCTAAATCTCTTGTAGTTCTAAACACTGTTTGCCAAATCTTTTCCATTGTATGTTATGTATTTTTTCTATTTCTTTCTTTATTGTTTTTCTTAGTTTCTCAATTATACATGGTATCAACTCCAAAAGTGACAAAACTCCAAAAAATCTCATTTTTTCCTTAGAAACATGCAACTTAGGGGGCTTATCTGTCGTTGACATAGTATCCATGCATAAATTATACACTAAGGACAACAATAGATTGTAACAAATCTGGATTGCCATCTCTAGTGGTACACTCTATCTACTTTTAAACATTCTTGTAAGAATCTTGCTTTGTGGCTTTTTGGGTGTGCTTCAAATGTTTTTCCATTTTTTATGGGTAAGTGTGAAATGGTAATCCATATTCTAGTTTTTTCTGAAACCACTTGTTCCTACCTCCCCGGTTGTCTTGTTAATTATTGGCCTCATGATCGTTTCTTTTTATCGTGCGGATTTTTTCACCATGGCAGAATGTCACTCTGGCAAAGAATGCTCTTAGGCCAGGTGCAGGGAATTTTGTGAATGCTATTCTTCGCAAGCTACTTTCACAAAAGGTTCAAAACTCCGCTATAACATTTCATCAGTTTGCTTTTATTAAGGATCAAATTAAATTGTTCGTCAAAGGTGCATTGTCATTTTTTGTCTTACGATGCAGGAAAGAAATTTACTTCCTGTACCTGAAATTGAAGGTACCGAACGTACTCAAGCACGTGCTCTTGCAACTTTGTATTCCCATCCTGTTGTAAGTTCTTCCCTGCCTTTTAATGGATTCTTTTCAATTAATTTAAGCGAGTTAAGTGGCTAGCAGTAATTATCTGATTGTAATAGTATCATTCTGTTCTTATAATGCAAAAGGAAAATGTCAGGACAATACCTGGAATGCATGATACTTGTCCAGAAACTTGAAATATCAGTGCAGTGCCCATGTTTTTTCCTTTTTTCACGATGATTATTTTACATTCTGATTTTTCCTTTTTGTCCCCATTAAAAATCAGCTAAACCATTCTAAAAATAAAATAAAATAAAATGAAATTTTAAAATGATTTAATGATTCTTGGTACTGTCTTGATATTTCAAGTGGCACCCGCATTATCTATGCAAGTGTTTCAGTTACGGTCCTGATATTTTTCCTGCTGAAACTGGGATGCTCTTTCAAATACTTTCAGACATTAGTTGAATACAATGATCAAGGGGCATCAAAGATATAGCTTGATGATAGTGGAGGCTTAGAGGCTACACTTTAAGCATGATAATCATTATTGATCATTTCGTGAATAGCCTTCACTTTGTTTCATCAGAGCTTAACTTCTATACAATCAATATGGTAGATGATAATGATCAATAAACATCAGTGTTTTTGGTTTTTGTTGTTTTTTGCACCAGTGGATGGTAAGGCGTTGGATAAATCACTTTGGAAAAGAAGAAGCTGTTAGGCTGATGAATTGGAATAACAGTGAACCCAGTTTTAGCCTCAGGTTGTAATTCCCAGTATATTTATATTATACAGTGAGACATGATGGTGTTCTGTATGGATAATTTGTTTCTTATGCTACTCTGTTATCAGAGCCAATGGAAGGAAAGGCATTACAAGGACTGACCTTGTTTTGCGACTTGAAACTTTGAAGGTACGTACTGAAAAAAAAATTGCAGTTACTTCTGTTTGTTCACTTTGTGATCGTGATTCATAAATTTCACGTAAAACTTGCTGATATCTAACCCAATGAGGGCACATACCTCATTTGTTGTTCACATAGCCCAGTTGTAAAATTCAATCAAGAAAAGCCTAGCAGCAGTTTCAGGGATGTCTCCCAAAAAAGCTTAATATATTCTTTTGGAATTGAACTTTGCCCTTCTAATCTAGAGCAAGATGCTCTTAGGGTTTGGATGGCTTACTGCCTTACCCAATATCTATATTGGTCCTTTCAAGGCCTTTAGATACACTTCTGGAAACAATTTGCTATAGAATAATTACGTGTTCTTGGCAATCCTACATTATTTTTTGATATTACTTCCTAAATTGTTTGCTTTCAGTTGTTTTATGGTAGTGTTTCTGCCTTATGTTCCTCCTTAAATCTGTCTCTCTCATATCTTTGATATCTTTAAATGAGTTTGCCTCCATGCCAGCATCAGTCATTGCCATCACTACTCAAAGCTGTAAATATCGCTACCTCAAACTAGCATTGGCTAATCACATGCATTTAATTCTTCTGCAGGATTTCCTCTTAAAATTTGTTGCCATGTACTACATGTTATCCTAAGGGGCTTTGGATGTGCTTGTTATCATTGATAATTTACTGTTAGGATTAAAATTACTCTTGATAACAAGTTATTTATTGTTTGGTAGAGTCTTCTATAAAATTATTTGAGATAAAGTTGTAGTTGGTTTTACATATCAGTTGATCTTTTTTAAAAGCTATTTTTACATTACTCCTGATAAGTTTATCCAATTGGGGGCCTTTTGTTTTAGTGGATAGTGAAGGAAAAGGTCTCTCTCTCTCTCTCTCAGCCGTACCTGCAATTCTCATGGCTTCTGCGCATCCACAGAAGGAGACAAATATGGCTAGTGAGGATATGATTCTGCTATGGCAACCATTAAAGTGAAGGTTGAAGGTAGCTTGAGATCTAAAAATGGCAAGCATTAACAAAGTTAGTTTTCACCATTAAAGGGAGCTTCACGCTCCATTCACAGTCAAATCAGTGAGAAATTATCCATCAATGAAGAAATCTGCCACCACAATTGCGCGGATTGCGCACCATGAAACTTGAGCTTAAAGCTTCATTCACCTTTCTAAAGAAATCTGCCTTCGCCACATATCAGTCTAAAATCAGGGCAGTCTCCATGTCTCTCTTGCCGGGGGCATACACCATTAGATAGCATGGAGCCTCGATGATTTTTCTCTCTAGTGAATCTATCATTGCTTTTCTCTCTCCAGTTTCTCTCTCTTTTGGAATTTCTCTCTCTAGAAAGTAACTGATGGATGGAGTTTCTCTCTCTGTAAATTAACCATGTTGGCTATCAGTCCAAGTCTCCAAGAAGTGTTTTAAAAATTAGTTATAACATGTGATGATCGAGTAAAAAAAAAAAGATAGGGTTTTGATTGGATTTGTGGCTTTGACATATCACTGTGCTTCTATAGATTTTCTGCTCTGAATGATCATCTGATATGTTATGGAAAGGCAATTACAAAGCTGTTTCAGTGGATTTGGGGTTCCGATTAATCCTTAATTTCTTTACGGAAAGGGAAATTAGGATTGTAGGCTTTTGTATTTCAGAGTTTTCAAATATTATTACTGTGGCAGGCAGGCGAAGGCCGAAGGTAAAACCTAGAGAGAAGAATAACAGAGTGATCTTATGTGATTTCAATTCATGGGTGATAGGTTCCAAAATTATTCAGATGATCAATATCAGAAATTCATATGGTGGCTGCAACCTCAAGCGCTGTTACCAACTCTCAAAGAATTGAGGCTATACCTAGCCAAGAAAAAAGAAAGAAAAGAAAAGAAAAGGAGGAACAAGAAGAAGAGGAAGAAGAGGAAGAGAAACCTGTAGAGGAAGAAGAAGAAGGGGAAGAGGAAGAAGAAGGGGAAGAGGAAGAAGAGGAGAAAGAAGGAGAGAAGGAGAAGAAGAAGAAGAAGGGGAAGAGGAAGAAGAGGAAGAAGAAGGAGAGAAGAAGAAGAAGAAAGTACTAATAAGAAGAAGAAGAAGAAGAAGTAGAAGAAGAAGGATAAGAGGAAGAAGGGCACTCATCAAACACCTAATATCCAGAGTATCTTATTTTAGATAAGATAATTTATTATGAGTAAATTATATGTCATCAAAACTGACCTTAAGTAGTTGAAGGATGGCTAATAGTGGAAATGAAGATCTCTGCATATTTGCAGCCAAATTAGAAATGCTAATCTCGTGACTCTATCTATGTCAAATTTGTTTTTCATGCATAAACCATTAAGCCAATAACTTTATCATAAAAATCTTTACCCCGCCGCCAACTCTTCCTCCAACCCACTTACGGTATCTGCATATTTTCATTGTTGTAGCAAGAAGATTACCTACTTAGTCTGTAACTACGTTTTTTGCTTTTCAGGTGCCACATGAGCCATCTTTGCATATGGATGACTTTGTCCAGGTCAAAACTGGTATGCAGGTATGTATTTTTCCTATATTTCACCATGATAGTTAACGTACTTCTTACTTCTCTTAGCTAAAAATTCTTTTTTAAGCTCTTATTATCAGCATATGGATCATATGATCCATTATCTATGCATTACAACATAAATTCTTATTGTTACATAAATCATTTAATTGTTTGGTGCGTAAAACTACCATTCAAGCAGACCAGCATACCAATCCTTCTTATTTTTGGTTCTGAACAGATAGTGATACAAAAAGGATTACTAAAAGATGGTCTTTGTGCTGTTCAGGATGAGAGTGCAGGTCAGTTCTTGTCTGCTAAGGCATGCCAACTATAGACCTAGTTTTAGAAGTGGAATGCTCTTCTTTAAAGAAAGGAAAAAAAAAAATGCTTTGTGCTATATGTGTGTATGTGTGTGTGTGTGTGTGCATATATTTGTTTGTATGTACGTGTCTTTATATGTGTAAATATGCGTTCATAAAGTCAAACTTGGTGGCCATCTTGATCCCTACAAAACCGAGTTAACTTGTCTCTAGTTAAACTAGTTGGATTGAAAAAGCTGGGGGAGTTTTTCAATTTTTCGTAAAGAGTTGATACAAAAAACATATCCCCTATAGATATGTATCCAGTTTGTTTCCAATTCAAGACCACATCACTACAAATTCAGAAGATATTTAGATTAAAAGATGACACAAACAATTTTATATTGAAAAACTATTTCATAAAGCTGTCACTTTATACATGCGCACCTCAAATCTCGTGGGAGAATGCATTTCCGGAGCAGGAAAAGCTGCAAATCATTCATCTCTATTTCGACAATCATGGATTTGAAAGAAAAAATGGATTTCAAGCCCTAAAAATAGCCTATATTGCTACGCATTTTCTGAACCTTGTATTTCAAGTATTCATAGATGCGCTAGATCTGCTTCATTTGTGGAGTTTTGAATTCAAATTCATGTTGGAAATAGATTTAAAGCTCATCACAAGGTCTTCGGTTGCCATATTTGGTTTTCCGTAGGGTTTCTAAGATGCAGCCCTGCCAAATTCTGTAAAGTTGTGGTTTTACCAAAACCTGGCACGTACACACATAAAATCTAGCACCTACCAAGCTTTTAAATTTCAAAGCTTAGTCAATGGATGAGTCAAGTTGAGTCGGTGAGTTCTTCTTAGTTGAAAATGAGTTTTTATTCACTGGTGTATATATATACACAAAGTCACCAGCACACATGAAATTTACATAATACTTCTCTAAAAGGAAGGCCCAAAAGGACATGGATGGAAGTAGTGAGAAGAGATATGATGATTTGTAGTCTGACTGAGGGTATGGCCTTAGAGCAGAATGATGGGACATGATTTGTGTAGCAGACCTCAAATAATGGGGATAACTTTCGGATGATGATGATTATTTCTCCAAGAGAAAGCCATTTAGAAGGAATCATACATTAAATAGTGAAGAGCATTCTCTTCTCTCTGAGAATATCATCAAGCAGAATTGGTCGCTTTTTCTATTAAAGTATAGGAATCCTTTTACTAACTTTTCAGTTTTTTTGTTTTTATCACACTAATCCTTGGCCATCATCACTATTTCTTAATATTTCTTGATTTTTTTTTTGTTTGGCGAAGTAAGTCTATGGGATCAATATGACAAATTATGATCTTGACATTCATTGTTAAAATTTAATTTTAATCGATGCTTTAATTATAGGTCATTATTAGTATCTTGTTTCTTGACAAATTGCAAAAAATGCAGGATAGAACTAATTGCACAGATTCATTGCCTTCAAAAATCATGTGGTATTTCTGATGCTTTTTCTTTAAGGTTTTCTTAGTCATTTCTACATGCCTTTTGCATTAAGGACTTTGTATTGAATGAACTCCCTATGATTCTAGGACTAGAAAGGACTTCCAGGAGTGTTATGTTATGCAAATGTGACCACATGTATTTGAGCGTTTACTTTTGTGTACCATCTAAATAGCAAAAGTGATGGTTATGTTCTTTGATATTTGCATTTTGGTATCTCAAATAATATGAAACTATAAAGCAGAAGTGGTGCTTCCATTCTGGGGCCTGTCACCTGTTTGTTCTTCTACACTATTGTCTTTCTGGTATCCATCCTTTTGTGGATGTCCCTGCAGGTTTGGTGGTTTCTGTTGTGGATCCTAAACCAGGAGAATCCATTGTGGATTGTTGTGCTGCACCTGGAGGGAAGGCTCTTTTCATGGCATCCTATTTGCAAGGCCAAGGTATCCATGTTGCCTAGTTTTATTGCTTGAAAGGCATGCATTATAGCTATATTAGCAGAATTTCCTCATGTCTTGAACAATTACACCTCAGAAACCAACAAAAAGATAGAAAAATAAAAGAAAGAAAAGCCTTTACAAACAATAGGAAATGATAAGAGAAAAGTTAAAACTTAGAGAGACTCGGAAAGGGCAAACCATAGGAGTCTCATTCCAGTTAGCCAGGCCTTGAGAAAAAAGGATGTAATCTTTAACTTTACATGGTAGTGTGACCGGCATAAAGATCAACTTGTGAGAAGCATGGGCTGCTTGGACAGAACCATGAGCATGAACATTGGGGAGGGGAGATAAACAGGTTTTTGAGGATTGTTTGGTTCAGGAAGGTTGAGCTTTGGTTTCTAAACTCCTTATGTTGTCTTCTCATAGGGATTTGCTTGATAACTTTATTGTTTTCATGGGTCCAGGTTGGAGTTGTCTGGGACTCTCCTGGTTTGAATTCATACTCCAAATATCGGACCTTTCTTTTCTTCTTAATCGATAAGCTCTCATATTGAGATTGTTAGGGTTATGTATGTCAAGGTGGAGAACTGAGTTAGAAATTGGTTTGAAGGTCCTCAATTCATCTAAATCTTGCATGCCTAATCTATGTCAGATGGGCGTGGACTGTACCTGGCGAAGATAAGGTTGATTCCTTCTTATAATCTTAGCTCTTTTTGTTGTGGTTGACCTTGAGTTGGGGAAATGATCATGTGGATCAGAAGTTTATGAATGATATGCCTCGCTATGTTGTATTGTGTAGAGGTGGAAGTGGAACTTTAGTACCATGGGCATCTGTTAAATTTCTGAGATTTGTGAATGTTGATTAGGCTGGTGACTAGAATGGGAAATTAGCATTTTCTTTTTGTTTATTGATATTTAATGGAAAATCCCTTCTAAAACTTGCTTGTTTTCTAGGATGAAGAGGATCATGAAATTTCAAATGCCTACTTCCCCTTTTTAAATGACTTAACAGAACCTAAACTTATTCTAAAAGTTGTTGAACGTCTTTCGCTTCTTTTGCCCTTCTTGATTGTTGGTTGCCTTTTTCTATGGGTAGTTTAGTGGTAGGATTCGAACTTGAGAAGGGTTAAACCGTTGCAGCTTTTCGTCTCCTTAACCAGTCAAGCCCAAGCCTGAATACTTGATTGTTGGTTGCCTTCTTTTCTTATTTTTTATTCACCGCTCTTGAGTTGCCATCTTTGCATGCTAAATTCAACACGCTGACCATCTTTTTAAGCAATCAGCATATTTTCAGTATTTGGTTGTTTAGCATGAAATTTTCAACCAACATCAGAATATGCCATGGACTATCCAAAATTAACTGTAACATTTGCTGAAACAGTGACATTTGCTGATTGTGTGCACCCAGTTAAATGGCTTGACTATCTTATTAAATTTTTTATTGTCTTTCTATGTGGTATAGATTTCTAGGTCTCAATCTCAATTGAAAAGTTGACTACTTTGAAGTTTAATGGATGACCAATGGATGACAGGTAAGGTTATTGCAATCGATATAAACAAAGGCCGCTTGCAAGTTCTATGGGAGGCCGCAAAGTTGCAAGATGTTGATGATGTTATCAGAACTGTTCATGCAGATTTGCGTGACTTTGCTGTGAGTCATTCCCTTTAACAAAACAGAGTTCAGTATGATGATAAGTTGTGTACTCGTTCTTGGATTAAGAAACTGTTATCTTTTATCTGCAGTAGTTTATATTACTTTGTCAATTGAATATTGAATGACATTTTTTATTTGCTTCGTACCGAGTGAAGTTTTTGAATTTGAACAGGCTGAAAATTCTCTCAAGGCTGATAAAGTGCTGTTGGATGCTCCATGTTCTGGACTTGGGGTCCTCTCAAAGGTATTTATTTCCCTGGATACTAATCTACTATAATCCAATGGACTATGGGAAAACCAAACAATAATCCAACATATTATCATCGTCCATTCGAAAATGGTTGGTGATGGAGAGAGCGGCACCCACCATTGGTGTCATGGTATGAGTCATCTTCTATAGAGTCGCATTCTCTCTTAACATCATTATCCATCATTTGGATGGACAGTAAGGACACAATGGACTGTGTTTTCTCCACAATCCATTGGAATGTACTGCTACTTATTTCCATGAATACTTTTCATGGATGTGGCTTAGCAATATTGTGAAAGCATTCCTGATTAACTGGGAGATGAGTGATGCAAACAGAATGCTCTGATGAAGGAAATACTTTCTTTGAATTCTAGCCATGTTTTTTTGTATCCACAAAAGTCAAAATGTATTGCTTACAGCAATGCAAAAATAGCAATGATCCTTCTAGAAACACTATGGCACAAGAAACAAATAATATATTCACAAAATTTACAAATCAACAGATTCTTATTCTACAATTCATATAATGAAAGGAATCCATTTTATTTTGCGAAGAAACTCTGCACAGTTAAGATTTTGTTTATGCTGTTTGATTTGGAGGAATTGGTTTTGCTGAGCAATTCCAATCTCTCTCTCTCTCTCTCTTTCTCTCTCTCGCGCACACACACACACACACATACACACACAAACACACGCACACACAGATACACATGTACACACACATACACCTATACACACGCGAGGCAATGAACTAAGCGATGCAATAAACGTAAAAAGAACCACTGGGTGATCAGACCCCACAAAACTCTACTCGGAGCACACAATCTGATGACATTCCCTGAACACCTCGTTAATTTTATTTCATGCAAAAGCATGAATTACTTGGGATCATTCCACTAAGTACATCATTCTTATGACTTACCCTCTCATTGGCAAACCAATCTTGTAATCCATTCATTACAATAGTTTCATTTTATTTATAGATAACTTATGTGCTGAAAATTGTTGCAATGATATATCTATATATATATATATATATATATATATATATA